CAGAAGCAGCCAGATCTCCATATGACCCCAGCTGACCATCGTATGAATGAATGGTATTTAGTTTTTACTGCAGCGGCACACAAATATTCAAGAACTGTCAAGTCAGAAACTGCAGAGACACAAAAAGGTCAGCGTAGGGGATAGACATCCACTAAGCCAAGAATGTCGGGATTTCACTGGTGATGTAATTCAGATGTCAACACAGATTAAAAATGATGAAAAGCCATGATGCAGCAACACAAGATTGGCAAGCAGCTTCTAGACTTGAACTGAACGAAGGCCATTTAGACTGCAGATGATAAACTGGCTTTGAAGGCTCTTCGGCAATGTTCAAGCAGTACTTCGCCATACTTTCAGGTTCCAGACAAAATGTTCTGTCTGCTCACCCAAATCTACATTGTGTCCACATCAGGGGCAGCTGAGGTAGCTCAAATCTGGTCCTGAAAGCCCAGAGTCCATCACATAAAAAAGAAGTTTTAAATGGCCCATATCATAGAATACCAAACTCTTCTAACTTTTTGAAAATGAAAGAGGGAAATGTAGTTTGTAAACACTGTTAAAGCTTTAAACGTAACATTCACGCCCCGTTCCTTACAGTCCGTATATGGGAACTAAACTTAAAATTCACTCACGAAAACTTGCCTATTCAGCCTATAGTGCTTTAGCCCCACTGAAGTTATAAGGGGTGTTTCAGTCTGGACAGCTTTTTTGGATGAGTCAAAATACAGGACAGCCAATCACAACAGAGATCATTTACATATATATCCATCTTAAAGACACAGTAACAAAAACAGCCTGTTTAATTCTCAGGAATAAAGAGAGGTTAGACAGTGGTTATGTTAAAACAAATTTCACCTAGTTCTGGAATGTAAAACTACAAAAATAAGATAAGACAACCAATCAAATACGAGAAAGATAGGACATGGGCCCTATAATAAGCCCAAAAAGCATAGCACATAGTTAAGCTTGGTGTACTGCCCAAGTGTACTAGCAAAATCACAGAACTCAGGATCAGACTCCAGCATTCCTCTCAGTGGTTAAACACATCTGCAAACTGCGAGAGTTTTTTTTAAATCAGTCTCGGTCTAAATTGGTCATAAATGTGGCTCTTAAAGTTTTCACACTGACAGAGCAATGGTATTCTCAATAACACCCATTTAAAAAACACAGAGTAAGCAACACTACAGCTCAATCTGTGGCAAGACAAACTCCCTAAGAGCCTGAGAAAGACACACTGAGAAGAACCAAGCAAAATACAGCAATGACTTAAAAGTCTTTTGAGTATTAATGAAAATCGTAAGAAAAATACTACCAACCGACCTTTCCACTGCACATGAATGCATTCTTACATAGTAACTGTTGCTAGGCTGGACAAGCTTTGTAAAACTATGAAAATCGCTCTCTATTTGCAGCACAGTTTGTTGACTATGTATGTTTTGGGTATTTGTAGAATCCTTTGGTGGAAACATGTAATTGAATTGCATTTTGTAACGTCGGTTGTGCTTCGGACCCCTTCCCCAAATGGATGAATCTAATTTATTTTATTTATTATGGTTTTATTTTATTTTGCTTTATTTTTATTTTATTTTATTCACCACATATAAATGTTTGTCTGATACTGTGCACTGTGAGCTCCTGTAACCATACCTGGCCAATAAAGCTTGATTCTGATTCTGATAATTGTGAATGCGTGTGAATTATCTACGATTGTCTCCATATATTCATCAGTATATTGTTGGTTTTGCATTTGAGACCTAAACATCAAGCTGGACCTTCTTTTTTGGGCTTGTGTGAGTGACGTGAAATCCAACTCTGACTTATTATTATTATTATTATTTAAGGCTTTACAGGGTGACTTGCAGCAGCAACACCATATTTTAGCTCAGTATTGCTACTTCATTTACTTTTACCAATAGTCTTACATAGTGTAGCTTGAAGTAACTATATTAGGTTTCCATTACCAAAATTGTGTTCTAGCTAACTGTAAATATGTATGCCTGTTGTTGCACACTTGTACTGAGCAATGATAATAAAGTTGAATCTATCTCTCTTTCTCTCTATCTATCTATCTATCTATCTATCTAAATAGGCCGATTAGAAATTACAAAGATGATTTCACGACCATGCTAATATTAGCACAATGATATGACAAAAAAACCCTACATCTGATTTACCTTACAAGTGATTTTACCTGCGTGCTATAATTGCTACAATGGAAAACATTTGTAACCTGAGCACAGGTAGGTTAAATGTATTAAATAAACAGGCTACAAAATGTTGAATCTCATATTCACCATGGTAGGCAAAGGGTTCAAGCAAATGCAAAAAAAGGGGCTGTTGGAGTTTATAAGCATCCTGTTTGGTATTTGAGCATGTCTAGAGGGGTCTGCTCATTCTCTTTCCCTCTTTACTTTCTCTTTTGTCTGCTGTGATGATGCTGCACTATGTTCCTTATAAGGCCACGTGCAGATTAACTCTCGGCACCAGGCGCTCGCCTTGTTCAGACAGAGAAAGTGCCGTACGTTCAGACAAACGACACCCTCGCTCAAATTCCTCCTCTACCGCACTCTTGCAGGCCCAATACTCCACAGTCTGCCAGAAGACCGTCTGCCAGCAGCTCTCACCTACTAATACGACATTGACTGAAACAAGCAGTCCATAAATAAATCAGTATTTACTGATCAGCACCTCTGCAGGAATGGCAGTTTAAGCCAGTCGTCTTTAGCCCACTGGCTAAAAGTGACAGTCGTGCAGAAAACAACTCTACAGGAACATACCTATCCATCAAGTCCTGTAGCAGCTACTTTGTATCACCAAGCAGCTGTGGGTCTGACAGTAATTGCCTAAATAACACCAGCGGATGGCCATTAGGGCCTGGCTGGCCTAAAACTGAACACGAAAGGCAGTCAATGTGTAGCGTGTGGAGGCGAGAGCTGGGCCGGAGGGAGTCCAGTCACAGCGAGTCAGCGCGAAAGACACACTGCTGAGTCATAACCACAAACTCTCAGCACATTCTTTCACCGAAGAGCAGAGCTCTCGAAAATACTTCAGACTTCAGAAAAGCCCGGACTCTTTGCTCACAAGCACCCAGCGATCATTCAGACAGTCAGTACTTGTTCGTGTCTACACCAGGGATTAGCAAAGTTACAGATTAATTAGGTTTAGATTAGTTACGTCGCAAAAGTTACTTTTAATTGTGGTTCATCTGAAGAGAAATGGAATCTGTTTCAGCATTAGTTATACTTCATTTCTGATCATAATGAAATAAAAGAATGGTCGCTAACATTCTTCTATATCATACTCTAAAATAAACACAGTAAACCAAATCAGTTACTACTGGGTTAATTCAATACATGTGTCTTTTACTTTTAGTTAAGGAAAATCCATAATAAACTACAGAATACATATCATTTATCTGCAAAAGATGGCAGCTAGTTAGCCAGCTAGCTGTACTCAAAGCCTGGGCAGTATCCAATCAGAATGAAATAAAAGAACATTTGCTAACATTACTGTATATCATAAACACTGTAAACCAAATCAGGTACTACTCTGTTAACTTAGTAAATGTTTCTTTGCTATTAGTAAAGGAAAATACATCATAAACTACAGATTACATATCATTTATCTGCAAAAGATGGCAGCTAGTTAGCCAGCTAGCTGTACTCAAAGCCTAGGCAGTTTCCAATCAGAATGAAATAAAATAATGGTTGCTAGCATTCTTCTGACATATCATACTCTAAAATAAAAGTTGTAAACCAAATGAATCACTACTGTGTTATTTCAATAAATGTTTCTTTGCTATTAGTAAAGGAAAATACATCATAAACTACAGACTACATATCATTTATCTGCAAAAGATGGCAGCTAGTTAGCCAGCTAGCTGTACTCAAAGCCTAGGCAGTTTCCAATCAGAATGAAATAAAAGAACGGCTAACATTCTTCTGACATATCATACTCTAAAATAAAAGTTGTAAACCAAATGAATCACTACTGTGTTATTTCAATAAATGTTTCATGCTCGTTTTTACATTTAGTTAAAGAATATATGTCATTTTAAACCACATATTGCAACAGATGGCAACTAGTTAGCAAGCTAGCCAGTCAAAGCAGGGGCTAATTGCATCAGGACAAATCAAGACTCTTCCAAAATGTTAAATTTAAGCAAAAACAACAAATGTAGCTAAGCTATAGTTAGCTATAGTCTTTTAGCCTAACTTCACTACTGGTTATTCATGATAGTTGGTAAGATATTCGTCACATATACACAACAAGAGTCTCAAGCTAAGGATGCTAGACAAACAGCATAGTGTGAGGTAAAGTTAAGACTGAAAATCTTTAGCTGCAGGCTAACTTGTTCAGACACACTCCACTTGGCACTAGACTTGTCTTAATAGAATCTAGCTTACAGCATTAAACAGATCTATATGATTAAAGCTGCCTAAGGTTCGATAGCTAGCACACATTACCATCGGATAGCTGATTCATAAAATGTGAAACCACAGAAGGAGTAAGAGCAGCTTTTAAAGAGTAAGAGTGGCGCAATTCCGAAGAAATCTACTGGAAAATTCCTTAATTTGCTTATAATACAGTGAAAATTAACCGAGGCATAATTAGCCAGTTAGAAATATTTTAAATAGTTTCGGAATGTGATTCTGCTGTTTTGATTAACTTTCTCTTTCCTTTCAAAACCCAGATTTACACGTAATTTAGTTTGAAAGAATAAGTGCTTCTGTGAAGCTGCACAAGGAGAAGTTTCCACAGCTAAAGCCAAGCTATTAGACAGTCGGTCAACTCTCCTCACCACAAACACAACCCAACACTGTCGCTAATTAAGATGAAGCCCGAGGCTCCTTGCGATGGAACAGGCCCGAGGCCAGTTGGACCTCCACCAAAAAATGCAGCAAATGAACAAGCGCTCATCACTCTCGCTACTTCCCGAGACAAGATGAGCTGTGGTGGTGGGGGGTCCCCACTCTCCCATAATGCAGTGCTTCACTCACCTACTCTGAAGTTGGGGGCGGTGAGGGTGTCGGTGGCGCGTCCGTTTTCACTGATGATGGTAGTGGTGTTGCCCTTCTCGCAGGTGTTCTGGCAGCGGCCGCCGGTGCAGGTCACCTTGCAGATGGTGGGAGTGAAGACCACCTTGATCCGGCCAGTGTGGTTACCCGCTGACCGGCAACACAGCAGGGACAGGAGGAGAGAGAGGAGAGAGTAAGTCAACATGGCTTTCAAACACAACTCACAGCCGCGCAATCTCTTTCTTTCTCGTGCTCTCGCTCACACACACGGAGCCTGACGAAACAGCAGTAGCGCAGCAGTGGGTGGGTAGTGGTGAAGGAGGAGGGTAGGGAAAAAAAAAAAGTTTTTGGTCGTCTAGTGCTCCTGCCGCTGTCTCTCTTTCACTCCCGTCTGCCTGTCTTTCCTCTCTTGCTCACTCTAACCTTCTCAAGGGGAGGAAAAATGAGGGGTGAGAGAGCTAGAAAATAAGACAAAGAGAGAGAGAGTAATAAAAAAGTTAAGGAGAGAAAGAGAACAGTCAGCAAACAGAACTCTGGGATGTTCTCCAGTTTGTCATGCAGAAGTCAGAGTTGCCCGAGCATGTGTGAGTGTGTTTGTTTTTCTGGTTTCGTCCTGACTTTGTAGGAACACTAGAGAAAAACAGAAGTTAGAGTTAGGTTTAGACTTAGACTGTATATATATGTGTGTATATATATATATATATATATATATATATATATATATACACACGCACACTACATGGACAAAAGTAATAGGACACCTACACATTATACCTACAGAAGCTTTTATGACATCCCATTCTAAATCTATAAGCATTAATATGGAGTTGTTTCCCACTTTGCAGCTGTAACAGCTTCCACTCTTCTAGAAAGGCTTTTTACAAGATGTGGGAGAGAGTCTGTGAGAATTCTTGCCCATTCACCCAGAAAACCATGTGTGAGGTCAGACACTGATGTTGTACGAGAGGCCCTGGCTCACAGTCTCCGTTCTAGTTCATCCCAAAGGTGTTTGATGGGGTTGAGGTCAGGACTCTGTGAGGGCCAGTCAAGTTCTTCCACACCAAACTCGCCCAGCCATGACTTTGGAGCTGCTTTGTGCACTGGGGCTCAGTCATGCTGGAACAGAAAAGATTCTTCCCCAAACTGTTCCCACAAAGCTGGAAACAACTGTCCAAAATGTCTTGTTCTGCTGAAGCATTAAGATTTCCCTTCACTGGAACTAAGGGTTCTAGACCAACCCCTGAAAAACAACCCCATAGCATCATCCCTCCTCCACCAAACTTTACAGCTGGCACAGCGCAGTCAGGCAGGTAATGTTCTGGCATTCACCAAACCCAGACTCGTCCATTAGACTGCCAGACAGAGAAGCGTGATTGGTCACTCCACGGAATACATTTCCACAGCTCCAGAGCCCAGTGGCAGCATGCTTTAGGCCCCACACCAACCCCCAACCCTCCAACACAATACAAATGAAACTATTATTATAACATACAGGCACATATGTATAATGCACATGGGACATATTACATATTGGTATGAGACATATTTATGACCTCACATCCTGACCTGGTATAAAAACAAATCTGAGTGTGTGAGAGAGTGTGTGTGTGCGCACACATGGTGAGTAATGCTGTACCGCCAGGCTTTCTGCCCACACAGACAAACACAGTGCATGCCAACCTCACCCTAAACAGCCTTCTCTTTCACTCCACCTCCAACTCTCTTATTCCAGCTTCTCCCACCCTCCACACACGCAAACACACACACACACACACATTTTGTGTTGCATGTTTGTGTGTTTGCATCTTTTACACATTCTCCTCCTCTCTCTGGTTTGATGATGTCACTACTGCCCCACAAAAACAAGCAAAAGGGGAAAAACCCACCTTCTCCTCTACTTCCTTCATTTAGATTCACAGAGCAAGCTGATCCAGGACCAAATTCCTATCGGGCATGTCAATACTGCTAAATGTGAGGCTGCTCCATTTATAATAACTTACTTTTCAAGCAAGTTGAGATCTACTGGATATACTCATAAATTCTAGGGATGGACTGATTTCATGAACTTTAGTGAACTTGAATCTATCCCTATTATCGAGAGATTGTGAGTATGATTCCCGGCAATGCCACAGCCATACATGACTGGGAGAGAATGCTGGACTGAGAATAGTCCACTAACCAAAAATATCCAGCCAACAGTGTCCCTTGGGCAGCGTCCTGTGACCACTGATGAAGGACTAGAGGATGACCAACACAAACTATGCTGACACACATGAGCTGCTGTCTCTGACTTTATATCTACAAGGTGGACCAACAAGGTAATAAAGTGGACAGTAAGTGGACACTGTGTCTACAAACTCCAGCAGCACTGCTGTGTCTGATCCACTCAGACCAGCACAACACACACTAACACACCGCCACCACGTCAGTGTTACTGCAGTGCTGAGAATGATCCACCACCCAACTAGCACCTGCTCTGTGAGGGTCCATGGGGGTCCTGATGCCTGAAGAACAGGGTAAAAGGGGGCTAACAAAGTATGCAGAGAAACAGATGGACTACAGTCTGTAACTGTAGAACTACAAAGTGCACCTATATAGTAAGTGGAGCTGATAAAATGGACAGTGAGCGTAGAAACAAGGTCATAATGTTATGCCTGATCGGTTTACATTTAGAGTGCGTTATCATTTTAAACTGATAGGCTAAGCATAAAGTTCAGTAGCTTCAGCTGTTTAATGTTAATGTTAACAAGTTAACATTACATTTGGACCACTAGCTTATAGAAAGGCCAACACTGGTCAGCATTTCACTGTTGTCGGAACAAAACATCGCATCTCCAAAATGGTAACTTTACAGGAGAAGGAAAAACTTTCTTTACTTTTAATGTAAGTCAATGGAACCAGACTTCTTACCAAGTCATTTTGGGCTGTTTCTTTTGGTCCATTCATCAAGAAATTTACACACAGTGTAAAGGACAACAGGCATTTTAACATTATGACAAAAACGGAGATACGAGGTTTTGTCCCGACAGCAGAGATTTGCTGATATCATTACGTTGGAGTGAGATGTAAAGCTTGTCCAATCTCGCTATAATAGCTACTAAAGAACGTCTTCGAGGGCGGAGCATGGAGGGATCGATTTATTTCCCTCTTTTCCCCCCTTCCTGCTTCTGTTTCTTGTTCTCTTTCTCTCTCAGAGCCACAAGTGTATCCACCTGCAGCTTCTCTGGCCTGAGTTGGCCCGTCTCTCAGCAGGGATAAACACTGTCTGCCTCCCTCTGTCTCCTTCTCTCTGTCTGTATCCTCCCTCTCTCTTACTCTCATAACAGTGACCTCTCTCCTTCTTCATTCTTCCTCTACTCACGCTCTTTTGCTCTCTCTCTCTCTCTCTCTGCACTTTTACTTACTGCCATCATATACCGTATAACGCACTGTAATTACCTATTTGTGGTAAATACATATTTGCTGTGAATAATGTATTTATGCGCTATGCATTTATATGTAATTATCTATGGATGGTAATTTAGTCATTCACTCGCTCCCTCGCTCACGTCTCTCTCTTTTACTCACTCACTCATTCCTTCACTCTCTCCTTCCCTCTCACACTCTGCTTCACTCTCCCTCACTTCCTCCTTCACTCATTTGCTCACTCACTCCATCACATCTTTACTCACTCTCTCCTTCATTCTCTCCCCCTTTCTACACTCTTTCACTTACTCATTCTTTCACTCATTCATTCACTCACTCACTCTGTCGTGTCTTCAATCACTGAATGTTTCACTCCTTCACTTACCCATTCTTTCGCTCTCTCCTGCACTCTTTTCTTTACTCACTCGCTCATTCTGTCATGTCTTTACTCACTCCCTCTTTCACTTTCATTTACCCATTCCTTCACTCTCTCCATAACTCCCTCCTTCACCCACTTATTTACTGACTCACTCACTCCCTTCTTAATTCTCTCTCCCCTCCTTCACTCGCTCCTTCCCTCTCACACTCTCCTTCACTTACCCGTTCTTTCACTCTCTCCCGCACTCCCTTCTTTACTCACTCAGACATTGATTCCATCATTTCCTCACTCACTCCCTCACTCTTTCATTTATCCATTCCGTCACTCACTCCATCACTCCCTCCTACGGGCACTCATTCACTCCACGTCTTTACTCACTTCCTCGCTCCCTCTCTGCCTCACTTTACCATTCTTTCGCTCTCTCCCTCACTCCCTTCTTCACTCATTCACACAATCATTTCCTCATTCAGACCCTCCTCATGTCTTCATCCACTCCCTACCTCCCTCCTTCACTCTTTCATTTACCCATTCCTTCACTCTCTCCCCTTGCTCCCTCCTTCACTTACTCACTCCATCACTTCTTCTTTCTTTCTTGCCCCCTCACTCCCTTGTTCCTTCATTCTCTCTCGCTCCCTCCCTCCCCAACTCACTCCCTCCTTCTCAGTCCCCCCCCAACTCCCTTCCAAATTCCCTCACTTCATCACTTGCTCACTCATTCCTTCACACTCACCCTTCCATCCTCCTTCACTCACTCCCTCAATCCAGCACTCTCATTCTCTTCTTTACTCAATCACTCCATTCTTCTATTACTTACTCTCTTTCACACTATCTTTCTTTGTCAACTCACTCCCTAATTCATGCCCTCCCTCCTTCCCTTAGTACTTCACTTATTAACTCATTCCTTCACTCTCACCCTTCATTCCTTCTTCCCTCATTTCCACAGTTCAGTCTCTCATCCCCCCCCCCTCTCTCTTTCTCTCAGCATGAATTGAGTGTGGTGGTGTAAGGCAGTGATTGTGCCCATATGGACAGAAGCCAGTAGAGACCTGAGCAGACATAACACAGACATCAATCAGCCTTCACACGCAGCCAGAAGCACAGGGAGCACCTCAATTCAGAGCGATCAGCCCAGCTGTTTATGCATTAATGCGCACGTCTGGATCCTTGTATGTCAAGAGCGTCTGAGGATATACACAGCCCAGAGTCACACTCCAGGGAGAAACAGACAGACGAATGGTTTTCCCATATGTACTTTGTACACACACACACACACACACACACATACAGTACATGCATGCGTGCCCCACCACGAGTTGCTGACAGGCTGTGTGTCGCTTGGGACAGACCTGGCAGAACGGCAGAAATCCCGACGGGTTTAGAAACGCACAAATTCTACTGGTGAAACTCCTGCAGCAACTCAAAAACCACACATACATACATAACCATAGACTGTCACTTCTAGACAAAGAGGCTTTCTGAGATTCTTTAGGTAACACCAGCAGATGTAAGCACACGAAAGAGTTAACCCAGGAGCTTAACCCTAATCCTAGTGGTCACCAACCTAACAGTAATGCATCTGATCCAGCTAATCAAGGAGCTCTGAAGAAGTTAATTAGTTGGAGCAAACTGTGGCAGACTGGTTGGAACTAGACTCCGCAAGAAGGTCGATCCCCAGGACCAGGGTTGATAACCACTGTCCTAGGCCAAATCTGCAAAAGGGAACCTTTTCAGTACAGCCTGGGGGGGGACAGTCCTGGGTGGCTGGTGTCCAGCATAGTTTGGATGATTTCCTAAATACTTCCTCAAATACTCCCACTAAACCTGGCAATTAACACATGAGTTGAATCAGGTGTGTTTGAGCAAGGAAACTGAGCCAGATACCGGCTCTCCGGGACTGGAGTTGAGAACCACTGCCTTACATAATATACACATATATAGCATCTCGTCGCTGTCAGAAAAAGAAAACTCATATCTCCGAAATAGTTGCTTTACAGGAGAAAGAAAAAACATTCTCAGCTTGTAATGAAAGATTTTTTTCCCCAAGTACTTTTGGACTATTTCTGTTGGTTCTTTCGTAATGAAATTTGGGTTTTTTTGGGAATTTTTTCAAATTTTCTCCCCAACGTCTTTGGACAGCTGAACACGCTTGGAGGAGAACACTAACTGTCACAGACGCCTGTGCCGGCTAGCATCACCATGAGTGATGGGGAAGACTTGGACTCTCGGCCACGGATGACCGTAGCATCACCGGGGATCGTACTCGCAATATCCAGATGATTTTTCTTTCTAATTTAGTCATACTCCACCCACAAGTCAGGGCTCCCCCAGTCACACCATACCACCAAGCCTCCTGCTTCTGTCTGCCTTCACCTTCCTAGGCCGCATGCCACCGCATGTTTTCGCACTGCTGCTAATGCAACATCATCAGATGCTGAACACGCTTGGAGGAGAACACTAACTGTCACAGATGACTGCGCTGGATCGCATCATGTTGATTGACAGGGAAAGAGGGAGGGCCATCCTACCCACCGAGATAAAGCGAAGCCAACAGTGCTGTCTTGGACTCCCAGCCACAGATGGCTGTAGCATCACCAGGGATCAAACTCGCAATCTCCAGATGACAGAGCCAACGCTTAGTCGGTAGTACCACTCGGAAGCTCATCGTGAAATTTCAACACAAGGCAAAGGGTAACTGGACTTGAAATTATGCAAGAACATGAAAAACATTACTGCTAAAATTTATTAGCTTTTTAACACATTTAATGCATTAATGCGTTTCTACCCCTACGAACCATCTATCGCGGTCCAGGCTGACACCAAACTGCTCCTGCTTTGTATGGTGATATGACTGAATACATGATTGTAGCCCCCTACTTCAAATACAGATTTAGATGGCTGTTAAAGCAGTGGTCACTGACCCTCTTCCTGGAGATCTACTTTCCTGCAGAGTTTAGTTCCTTGCCCTGACGGAAGGCTAATGCATCTGACCCAACCAACCAATAACTTCTAAGAAACTGGAGCAAGTGTGGCACATTGTGGTTGGAAGTGGATTCTACAGGAAGGTAGATCTCCAGGACCAAAGTTGGAGACAACACTGGACAGTGAACGCAGGTGATCTACAGATAAATCACTGAGCAGCAAACTAACAAAAGCAGCAAAGCGGAAAACCCCAGTTCCTCTTGAAAGCTGTAACAAGAATCCATGAGCTTCAGCCTGCTACAGCTGTTGAGGAGGACTTTACTGTATAGCAGTTTATCACCAAGCATGGTCACATAATTATCTATCCCTCCTCTTTGCATATGTATGCGTAAACCTATGGACACACATTTTCTCTCATTCCCCCTTCGTCACAAACTCATACACACTCTCTATTCATCGGTCTACTTTCTACTACTCTCTCACTCTCTTCTTCTCTCCCCAGCTCCCTCTCTCTCTCTCTCTCCCTGCCTTTATCTATAATTGTCTTCGGAAAATGAGGCTAATAATTCATTTTAGGCTGTGCCTGGCAGAAGGCATCGTTTAAAGTCTTTCTGCTCTTTTAGTTCGAGCTGCTATTGAAACAGTCCAACTGCAGCCTAACTCAAAGCCATCCTTGCAGCACTACAACAGCTGTGTAGGAACTGTGTGTGTGTGTGTGTGTGTGTGTGTGTGTGAACACTTTGAGGAGAAAACTGTGTAATTTTCAGTCGTAAAATTAAGTTTTACTTTTATATCCTTTTATAGTTTTTCCTAATGTTCATGTACAGTTTTGTTGCTGCTCTAACTGAACTTTCCTTCTACATATCTATTTATTCATCTACTCCTCCAACTATCTATTCATTCATCCATCTGTCACTTATCTACCTACTGCAGGGCTGCCTAAAGTGTGGGGCAAAGTTGGCCCATCTATCTATTTATCTACCTATCTATCTATCTATCTATCTACAGAATCTATCAATCTATCTATTTCTCTGTCTGTATCTGCAGAATCAATCAATTTATGTATGTATCTGTGGCATGCGCCCGCCCCCCGGGCCCCGGCGATGACGGCCGCGAGAGCCGGCAGGAAGGCAGGGCCTGAACACCCCGGGGGTGACGAACCTCGGCCAGGACGGCAGGGAGAGAGCCACGAGTGGGGACGGGGCGGAGCGCAAAGCCCGAGCTCCTCCGAGTAACCCGAGTGACGGCGGGAGGAGGAGGAAGACGGCGAGGGTGCTGGAAACGAGAGGCACCAGGGCAAGGAGCGAGCCCCAAGCTCGGCCGCCTGGGCCCCGCCCCCTGTTACGCAGCGAGGCCGCTCCACTACACCTCACGTTCGACCCAGGCGGCTGAGCTGCAAGCTGGGGGCGGTGACGAGGAGGCGGAGCAGCAAGCTCTCGTTCCCTCTCGGCTCAGGTGCTCAGCGCCTTTTAAAAAGAGCTGAGAGGGAACAGAACAGAGAGAGAGAGAGAGGGACGAGCAGCAGCAAGAGACTGAAGACCGTGAAAAGCTTAAAAGTCTAGCCAGCTTAAGCCAATGAAAAGTGGCCAGCATAGTTTGGTTGTTTTGAGTTGTGTTTATTTGGTAATAAATATGCCTGCTGCAGCACTGAACCCTGCCTCCAGCGTCCTCCTTGAGTCTGGGGTAGCACATGCCGTGCTACAGTATCTATGTATTTATCTGTCTGTGTGTCTGTTTGTCTGTCTATCTAACTATATATCTATCTATAGAATCAATCAATCTATGTATCTATCTGTCTATCTGCCTGTCTGTCTATCTATCTATCTACAGAATCTATCTATGTCTGTCTGTCTGTCTACAGAATGTGAGGAGGTGTTAAGCTGACTGTGCCACTGAACGTTTTACATGCATTTGGCTTTTCTGAATCAGTAAAACTGCATCTGTGTGGCTTAGCACCAGCTAACCATGGTGGACAGACACACTGTCACACTCGTATATGACGGTCCAAAGTGACGGTTCAACACTGTGTCCAAATCCACTGCCTAAGAGAATTAATAACCCTTCACATCTCACCAATGACACTTTTATGAAGTATATAAACCCAAACATACAACACGTCAAATGTGTTGAAATCATCTGGTTGGTTTGAGTTTTTATGCTGACTTTCTAAAAAAAAAAAATCAATGTCAGCTGAATAAAAGCTTGGAACTAATTTATCCTGCATCAAGATCTGACAAAATGATGACTTCATTTTTGGTTCTTACACTTTATTTGAAACCACCACCCTTTCTAGGTTTTCAACAGCAACAGCCATTCATGATTTTAATCGACCATAACTGGCTGTGTCAGAGTAAAGGCAGGGATGCTGACATGCCTTTTAAATGATGTTTAATGTGGTTGGTTATTTCCTTCTACGTACATTACTGAAAAACACTGCTGGGTTTTCCCTTGAACTTTCCACTGGGTACAGATATGTGGGGATTTTAGAGAGTAATGCAGAAGTAAAGTAATGATTAATGAAACACTATTTTACAGAAATTTAAAGTAAAGTATTCCCATTACAGCTTTACTGGATAAGTTTTTTTGAGTAACTGTTTGTCCACCACCAACAAGATGGGAGCTACAATGTAGGGGTCTCTAGTGGCTGATTCAATTCATGATCAACTAACAAGTTAAATCCATTGATTTAGAACAGTTGGAGTGAAAATGATACTGACCGGTGAGGGGATGATGTCCGACGGTCAACGGAATGCTACGCTCGGGCGTCTGTCCAACACCATGCACCTGCGTGTGCGTGTGGTAATACTTTGGCTTGATCACAAACTTCTGGCTTTTGCTTTGGTGCATCGTCATGGAGACGGGAGGCTGTACGCTGCAGGAGACAAAAAAACAAACAAACAACAAATCATCAATCTCTTTCATCTTGTCTTTCAACCCCACCTGCCTCTCCTTTTTATGTAAAGTGGGTAGAAGCTCGTCCTCCATAAGGAAATGCATATTCATTTGCTCACGTTTACATTCACACCTTCTTCCTCTTGATTAATTGCTGCCCTGAGGCTTCATGGAAAACACACGGGTGTGAACACATTACCATGGGAATGCAGGATGCATGCACAGGGAAAAGAACACAGCAGGGAAAGCTGGTTGGTTTTCCGAGCACATGATGAATCCACTTGCACACACATAAGAAGGACAAGATTGAAAGCATGAAGCATGTGTACCCTCATGTAGACAAAACATGAGGGAAATGTCGAGATCAGAATAAAGAGAGGTAGCTCAAGCGCTTCATTTCCCTGAACATGAAGCCCTTTTTTCACTCCATGTTGAAAGAACTGTGTTATCTCCCATCAAACCCACCATGGTCTCTGTGGGTGTGCAACATAGTCCATTTGAAGGTCCCTCACAAATGAGCAACACAAGCAACAAAGACTCTCTGCCCAAAGCTTGCATGTTGTGGGCAAATAAATGCCTGAATATGAAACACATAGGCTGGTGTGGGCCCTAACACAAGCACTGACCATTCAACTATTCGATATACAATATGACCACCTCCTTGTTTCTACGCTCATTGTCCATTTTATCAGCTCCACTTACTATATAGGTGCACTTTGTAGTTCTACAGTTACAGACTGTAGTCCATCTGTTTCTCTGCATACTTTGTTAGCCCCCTTTTACCCTGTTCTTCAGTGGTCAGGACCCCCATGGACCCTCACAGAGCAGATATTATTTGGGTGGAGGATCATTCTCAGCACAGCTGTAACACTGATGGGGTGGTGGTGTGTTAGTGTGTGTTGTGCTGGTACGAGTGGATCAGACACAGCAGTGCCGCAACAATCACAAAATATGGGTGCAAAATCCTGGTGGGTTCACTCTGTTCTCCTCCTACATGGCCTGCTGTCTGTGTGTGTGTCTGTGTGTGTATGTGTTTTTGTGTGTGTGCGAGATTGGACAACATGGACAGGCTGCTGACTGGCTACAGCTGCTACAGGAGAACCCTACGCTGGACACTTGCGATATTTTATGTCTGGTATTTTTACATAAATTGTTTTAGCTGCACTGATGCATTTTAAAGACCAACAATGTGGTGGGTCCACCAGACCACTGAGTAACAAACATCAACACCACACAAGGGTTAAGTATTTTTGAATTGAATTTTTGGTTGCTTTTATGAAATACTCAACCCTGTACCCCCTCTTTAAACCATGTAGGGGGTGAAGTAGCCTCAAACAAATCTTATTGTAGTAGTGGAGCAATATTATATTGCACAAATCATATTGATATATAAACTTTTACCACAGTGGTCCAGTCAAAATGTCAGTCCCCTTTGGTAACAAACATTCAGCTGTGTTCTAAAGGTTATTTTCTCATTTGACTGCTGTTTCTGGAGACTTTTCTTTTAACTTGGACCACATCCATATACATTTGTTTTCAAATGCCACAGAGTAGATATAGGAGATAGCTCCTTAAGGTTTGCTGCAGGGTCCCATGGCTTCTTCACCAAACTTTAAGACAAAATATCAGCACAGGGCAAACCAGAGTGAGACGTATTAGCACAAAGACATTGTGCACAAATTAGGATGTGTTAGCTTAGCTTTTAGTGTTCATGTGCTTTGAAACAATGCCAGCAGTTCCCTTTGAAAATGTCTAAATAGTACTTATGTCTATGAGAACATGCCTGTAAGGAAAACACACCGTGCCACTAGACCATGGATATGGCTTGCTAGTGGTACACTGTTTGCTAAGAGGGTCTAGAATGAACACTGGCTGTGTAAATATACCTTTGAGTAAAGTCAAAACCATTGCAATCGGAACCACTGCTTTCCTTCCTCTTTGCAGATGTGGCTTACTGATGGCTTAACCTCTTGAGCAGTTAGCGAGCAAATCACACTATGATATGAAAGTCGATGTTACAAGTTCACACACATAATGCAACATTCTGAAGCTCACAGGGCTGTAAATGTACACAAATGCAAATGTAGCGTGGCCTTGCAACCAAACAAGGGTTGTTTCTTCAATGGTGGTCTGAACAAGTTAGTGGAACTCTGAGAATGAAGGTTCCACAAAGGTATGCAAGATGTACAACCCCTAACTTATAATTTAACTTACTGGCCATTATGAGGTTCATCTATCTAACAGTTCCACTACATAGCTGTACAATTACAGACTGCAGCCTCCAGCCCTTTCGTCATTGGTCAGTTTCTGACCACAGGGCCACTATTGACCAGATAAAAACAGCAAAACAGCAGTGACAATGGCATGGTCATGGTTTGGTGAGCCAGCAACCAGAAGGTTGTGGGTTCAAATCCCATGATTGACAGGTAGTTTGTGTGGCACTGGTACAAGTCACAGTGTTGTTGCTGGGGTTCTTACACACATCATCATCGGTATATTTAGAGTGGTCCATCTGCCCAAAATATCCAGTCAAGAGAAGCGCTGTGGTCAGAAAGAGACAACTGATGAAGGGTTTTTGACCCACATCCTTTAGGTTTAGGTTGGTGGCTCACTTCTATAGGAATAGTGGGGGGCTAAGTGTGTTGCTAAAGGTCACAAACAGGAATACCCAGTCAGTTCTGGGATATGAACCCACGTTCTTGCGGTTGTTGGTTCACTGCTCCCCAGTCTGGGAGCAACACAGTTTCACCAGAAATCAGGGGTTAAGTGCTTTAGAACTAGGAATGCCCAGTCAGTCCTGGGATTTGAACCCACAACATTCTGGTTGGTGGCCACTAGGTAACCAACCACCCCATAGTCTAAGAGCACAACAATGTCACCAGCACAGCAGGGTTGGGGCAGCTGAGTGTGTTGCCCAAAAAACACAAACAGGAATAACCCAGACAGTTCTGGGATTTGAACCCACATTCTTGCGATTGCTCACCTCTCCTACCACTAGGTAACCGGTCACCCCACAGTCTAGGAGCAGCACATCACCACCAGCAGAGCAGTGCTAGGGCAGTGGGGGGGGGCTGAGTGTGTTGCCCAAATAACAACCAGGAATACCTAGTCAGTTCTGGGACTGGAACCCACAACTTTCTGGTTGCTGGCTCACCTCTACGACCACTAGGTAACCAACCACCCCACAGTCTAGGAGCAGCACAATGTCACCAGCAGAGCAGTGCTACCGCAGTGGAAGGGCTGAGTGTGTTGCCCAAGGGCACAATCAGGAATACCCAGTCAGTTCTGGGACTTGAACCCACAACCTTCTGGTTGCTGATTCACCTCTCCTACCACTAGGTAACCGGCCACCCCACAGTCTAGAAGCAGCACAACGTCACCAGCAGAGCAGTGCTAGGGCAGTGTGGGGGGCTGAGTGTGTTGCCCAAGGGCACAACCAGGAATACCCAGTCAGTTCTGGGATTTGAACCCACATTTTTGTGGTTGTTGGTGCACTGCTCCCCAGCCTAGGAACATCAAAGCATCACTAGCAGAGAAGCAACTCCAAGAGCAGTGGGGGGTATTAGGTGTCCTGTCTAAGGGCACATCAACAGATGAGCTAGATTTTCTCTATGTATTCCAACAAGGTGGAGCTACAAGGTAGAGGTTTTTAGTGAATGTCCTTTAATTGTCAAATTCGTGTACGGGCAAACTAGTAATTTGCAACCAGCTAGTGATGGCAGATAATTGCACAACTGATTGCAGCCCATATTTTTTAGGAACATATCCCTTGCCATTGTATTATGCCTTTAAGAAAATCCACTTCCTGCCACAACCCAGGCCTATTTGAAACACACTTGCTCACAGTGGCTGCGAGGCATGCTCAGCATTCACCCATTTCCCCTCGTCTCCGGTTGCGCATTTGTGCGTAATGGGCTGTAATTATCAGCCATTAGACGCTGAAATTCTTTAACAGCCTAACGATCAAGAGACAAAAACACAGTTCGTAAGGAAAGCATGTGCGACACTTCATTTACCCTTTATAAGGCTATTTAGATAATGGGGAGGTCGCTGGTGGGGACGGTCATGTGAAGAATTCAATAAGGCCGCGGAGGACAGTATCTGCATAACAAGGGCTGATAATCATTGCACATTCAGCCGGGGCACAGCGCGGAGCAGAGGGCAGAAAGAATTTGCACAATATGAGCAAAGAGGGAAAAAAAGGTGAGAAAAAAAGGCGGCGGAGGTGCGAACGGTGGTCCAATTGCAAAATCGTAATAACCGCATGCAATGGAGTGGGACGAAAAAAACAAAAAGTAAAACAGTAAACGGAGAAACCATTTCACAATCTCTCCATCTCTGCCTGTCTCCCTTTCCAAATGCCTGCGGGTGATCTAATTTCTCCACTGTTCCTGTCTGATGTAATGTACTTAAACAAAAGAAGCCAGCGGCCATCTCTCCCTCCCTCTCTCCCTCTCTCCCCCTCTCTTCCCCTCTCCAGAGACGTAAACAGTGCTGAATGCCAGCAGTCTGCAGGATCTCTCTCTTTGCCAGGCGTGGGCAGTGCCAGCCCAGGCTGGCATCAAACAGACCAACAACTCATAGTAGAGCCGGCGCAGAACTTTTTAAAGTTATCGATGTTGAAAGATGAAGGAGAAACACGTATACAGACACCGTCTCCATGTCTCAGTCTCAGCGGACTCCGTCAGCACAGGCTTCAGTTACTGCTATTTTTTCAGTGAAGTGAATGCAAACACACACAAGCTGGAGATGGAGGTCTAATGTAATTTGTGCAGGGTAAGTGTTTAATTGCTCCCGGCAGAGTGCAGCTGTCCACCCAGACAGACCAATATAGGACTGAGCTACTGCACACAGTGTATTCCAGTCTTTGCCAGAGTGGAGCTAAAAGTTGCTCTAACAGTCTCTAACTTCAACCACATAAACTAAATGCAAATCCTAAAGCCGGGGTCTTCGGGGGTTATGGGCAGACGTTCACCAGAG